TCCTGGTGAAAACGGCAGTATTTGGACTGGTCTTTCCGATTGGAAGGAGTTCGTGATGGTTGGGGCCATTTTAGAGGATAGTCACGCTGGATCTGATTGATGACTTGTTCCATGGGTGAATTGAGAGGTGTGTATCGCTCGAATCGGCCGGGTGGTCGGGCTGGTGCTGACCGGTCGGCTCGAGGGGGTCGGTCGGTATAATGGGGTGTTTGGTTATTGTACTGGGTGTTTTTGGTTTCTGAATCCTTTCTCTTCTCCCTGGTGGTGGGGTTTTTGGCAGTAGGGTCTTGGCGAGCGGCTAGGGAATCTTCTGCGTTCATGTATTTTTGGGCTTTGGGGAGTAGGGTTGCCATGGAGGTCGGGGGTTTTTTGAGAGGGAGAAAAGGAAGTCAGATGACCGTAGACCGGCCATGAAAGCTGTAAGGATGACCTTGTCGTCGTTTTCCGCCACCTGCAAGGCTTCGGTGTTGAAGCGGGTAACGAAACTGCGTAGTGTTTCCCCCTCAGTCTGACGGATGTTGCGGAGTTGGGTCGCCGAACGTCGCTGGCGCTAAGCTCCAATGAAGTGGCCGAGGAAGAAGTCATTGAGGTGCTGAAAAGTGGAGACAGAGTCCGTTGGTAATTGTCTAAACCAAAGTTGAGCTGACCCCTTGAGTGTCAAGGGAAAAGCCCGACACATGATTTCGTCAGGGAATGCATAGAGGATCATGAGGGTTCTGTAGGTCTCCAGGTGGTCCACTGGATTTGTCATACCGTCAAAAGAGTCGATGGTGGGCATTTTGAACTTGGGGGGTAGAGGTTTGTCCCGGATGGAAGCAACAAATGGTGAGTTGGCTGTGGTGGATGGTTTGTGCTGTATGTTCTACATGACTCCTTGGAGCTGGAGCTTCATGGCTTGGAGTTCTACATCCCAGTAAGGGATGTTGTCATCACCAGAAGGGAACGAGGGCTGGACGCTGTTAGCCTTTCCCTCAGGGGTGGGTGCGTGGACCGATTGATGTGGGACCCGGGGGGGTAGGTTTATATCTGAGGGAAGTGGTTGCAAACCCTCCAAGTTGGGCGGATGGGGCTGCTGAATAGTGTGGGTCGGGGCTCGTTCCTGGTTTGGCAAAATATCTAGAGGTGGTAGAGGAGGCATAGGAGGGTTTCTTTAGAGTAGGGCATTAATCAAAGCTTGGTTCTGCTCGGCCAAGCGGTTAATGCTGTTGGTGAGCTCGGTAAAGTACTGTGGCGAGTGGTTTGGGTTGGGTGGGTCGATTTGGTGATCGAGAGCATTGGAGTGGGAAGCCATGGATCTAGTTGTGACCATCCACCTTCGCAAGTGGTAAGAAAGGGTTATCGGGAAAGGGCCTCCGGCAACAATGAGCACAATTGGCGCGCGGAGTAAGAAATTTTCCACAGACGGCGCCAACTGATGATACAATTTGTGATGGTAGAACGGGTCGGACTGATCCACGCTCCTTAAGCCTATGTCCGAATGACCAAGCCCACCTGAAGACCTGTACAAGAGTTTAACGGGGAACGGGGAGTCCCCCAGCGAACCTTCCGACGAGCAAGTTAGAGAGAGAGAAGTGGAGTGTAGAGATAGAGTAGAGATAGAAAAGCTTAACCTTCTTCCTGTCTTCGACGTCTACTTATATCCTCTGGTAATCATTTCGTTGTCCCTTCCGATATGTCACCTTGGCCGAAAGTCTATACTGTAGCTTACCTTGTTCAGGGTGAGGGCGTGCCGTCCCAACGGAGAGGGGTTATCGCAATAAATGCTGTAAGGGGCCTCATTAATGGCGATGTGCCGTGGCAATAACTTTGCAGATCTTTGTTTGCTGATGTGGCTTGCTCTTCTCTTGCCATGTGTCACCTTGGCCGAAAGTCTATACTGTAGCTTACCTTGTTCAGGGTGAGGGCGTGCCGTCCCAACGGAGAGGGGTTATCGCAATAAATGCTGTAAGGGGCCTCATTAATGGCGATGTGCCGTGGCAATAACTTTGCAGATCTTTGTTTGCTGATGTGGCTTGCCTTTCTCTTGCCATGTGTCTTGATGCCATTGGCTCTTATTACTGTGTGGGGCTTCAGCAGTGCTGGGCTTCATTAATTGAATTATGTATTGAGCCCTAAGTGGTAGGTTTGGGTTGTTCATAGTGGGCTATAACCTTTGTAGGCCTACTCATGTCAACAATGCTTTAACAAGAATTGGCAATAATTGATGTTAACAATGCCAGTGGATTTGGCCATTCTATCTTTTATGACAAACATTGGCAATATTTCAAAATTTGAAAACTCATTTAATTTTATTAGGTTTACAATTTCTTTGTGTGATATCCCAATTTTGTTGGGCCGTTTAGGCCCCTCTGGTCGGCTCCTCTTTGGAGAGAGATTTCTTTGGCCACGCCAAAGATAACTATTATTTGTTTACCGATTTTAGTGGTCGAATTGAATTATCATGATTGTGAGCTCTACCTACAGTGTGTTTGGTGTTGAAATGAGAGATCAGATTGATAGTTTAAGGGGGTTAGTAATTCTCATTAGGGAATTAGCTTAGTTGGGTAGAGGGAGAGATTAAAAAAATAGTGAGCGAATTAGGCTAATTTTTATTTTTATTTTTATTTTTACTAAATGGACCTGCTTGTTTAATATATGTTTTGGATTCTTTTTAATATTGAAAAAATATTTTTTTTTTATTTTATATAAAAATAATTTAACAATCTTATCACTAACCATCTCTCACATTATCATCAAAATAAATATACTTTTACTTAATCCCCTCACTAACAATCTCTTCACCAACTATCCTTTCACTAATAATCACATTTAATCTAATCTGTCAAACAAACATGGCCGTATGGTTGATCATCCCCTTCTACTTTTTATTTTTATTTTTTAAACAATCAAACAAAAACAAGATCATAAACTCACATTATTGGTAGAGATTGTTTTAATAACCCACCAAGAGAAATTCTATAATTTAACAACCCCATATAATAGTTTGGAAACAATTGATTATGGTATATTATATGAAAATTTTTATTCATAGGTAAAAATCTTACAAAAAGCTTCAAAAAAATGATTTAATAATATCATTATTGTAAATAAATTCATCTTTAATAATATTTTGTTTAAAAGTGAAATATTCATAATGAGCCACATCATTTATATATGAAAATTATTTATAATTTTTTTTTATTTGTATAGCATTACTCGTATTGGTAGCTTCTATATACACATTATCATTTTTCTCAATTTACATCATTTTTCTTAGTTCAGATATTAATTATCGAACAAAACTCAACTATTTAAATATTAATTACCGAACCAAACCAAAGGTATAGCCAAACCATGAGCATTTCCGTAGTTGATATTGAACTATTAATTTTTATTTGATAATTGATATACAAACTAAAAAATAATGTGATATCGAAATTTTGTATGCATAAAAAAAAGCTCCCACGTATGTTGCACTTGAACATTTTCCGTCAAATAATGGGACAATAGTTAATAACTTCACACAATGGAAAAAATTATTGGACTAATGTGTGACAATTAAAATGATATAGACCAAATTAAACTCGGAAGAAATTATAAGAACAATTGATAAAATTTGCCCATATTCTTTCTATCAGTCAGTAGAAAATAAATGATAAATAACATGAAAACTACACCAAATAGTATTTAATTATAAAAAAAAAAGAAGCCCAACACCAAAAATCTTTAATGAAAAAAAATTACATGAGAAAAGTCGAATGCCTGATATCCCTCTAATCTCCTAATACGATGCATGGTGTCCATAATTTTTGACCCACAGACTAAGGCCTTGTTCGGCATGTGAAAATTTTAGTTTAAAAGTTAAAAAAATTAAAAAGTCTATAACTTATACCAAAAAGTTAAAGATTGTTGTTCATCTTGTGAAATTAATAAATAGATTTATGAAGAAAACAAAATTAAATATGTACTAAGAACACATGTTGATAATTACAACTAAATTTCAACAGAAAAATACAAAACAATAAAATGGTAAAGAAACCAAACCGAAGCCTGTACGGTAACAGTTTCCTTAAAACAGATTTCGCCGCCTCACGGGTCGAGTGCTTAAGGAATCCCGACGTCTGTCTCCCAGGATACAACGGTCAAAACCAGCTACGACAAAAGCACTCTTTGTCTAGCTTAGCGAACAAAAACAGTGGCAGCACTCTCTGGCAGTAGGAACTTTCTGGCAAACTGACTAAAGAATGGAAGAAACAATTTCTGTGTTTGACACTTGACAGGAGGGTCTCAATTTATACATGTATAGGGGAGAGAGGAAGAGCTTCCAGCCTTTATGGCTGTTCATAATGCACCATTAACCTCTGCAATAAAGGCAGGAGTTACAAACCCCATTAATGTAGGAGTTACAAACTCCATTAATACAGGAGTTACAAACTTCATTACCTTTTTTCCATGAAGCTAATTTCATGAGGTAATTTCTCATTCAAATCTCAATGGTTTTTGGCCATTCTATCTGTGGTGTAAAGATGTCAATGCAAATTATCTAGACCCACTTAGACCCAATACAATAGATGGTTGGGACTCACTTTAATCTTTAATTAAAGTCACCACACTTTAATATTAAATTAAAGTCCCCAAAAATCATTTTTTCCAACAAAGATTTCATTTTCTCTTTATTTTTTGCACATCTTTTCATAAAAAATTTAAAAGTCATTCCAAACCTACTAATTTTTTACCCCTCCTATTTTAACAAAAAAAATTAAAAAATTACTAAAATAGCAAGTTTTCAAACGAGGCTTGATATCGTTAAAAAATTAGTATTCAACTATGAAAGAAAATTTAACACAAAATCTCAAACTAAAAAACCCACACATGAATAAAGAACCCACACAAGGAGAATGAAACCCCTAATCTCCCCCCATCTCCTAAGATGCAAGGTGTCAAGAATTTTTGACCAACAGACTAGTCTCGTTCATAAAATACAATGCATTACACACGCCCTATAATAGGCTTTTTTTAGATTTTAAAATTTTCAGAACTTAAATGAAATCATTAATTGGCAAAGTACAAACAAGATTTGCAAGGTACAGCATCTAAGTGAATTATTACGGAGCAAAAACATAGGGCCAAAGCTGTCGATAATCTCCAAGCCATCACTTTCCCAGCAATCAAATCAAATCAAAATCCTAAAATAAAAAAAATTCAAAGCCAAAACACATATTTTGAGAAACTCACGGCAATCTCTTACATTACAATCGGCCAATAACTCCCAAAACCGAAAAGGCCTGCCAAGTGTTTGGTTATCAGGAAGATCACTTTCCCTAACACTTCTCATCAAGACCTCAAAAATACTTTCTTTGTTTCTTTCCTTCTGATTCTTGAATAATACAATAATCAACCAAGCGGCCAAATTTTCACTCTCCTGGGATCAATTCAATCTGATTTCATCACCTTGAAATTGCCGGACTGTTCTCTAATCCGGCAAGAATTCGCTTGCAGTTCTGATTTCTTGTTTTCCGGAGGTTTCCAGGAAAATAAATCCAACATTGCTGAAATTCTATTGAGTTCCGATTATGCCATGGAAATCAAATCAGTATTTCAACAAAGACAGATTTCTATCTGATCCCACAAGAATTAGCTTGCAGTTTATCTTTCATTGTTTCTGATTTCCTGTTTTTTGGAGGGTTCAAGGCAACAACTAAATCCAACATTGCTGAATTTGGTGGAAATCGAATCAGCATTTCAACAAAGATTTCTCTGGTTCGACAAGAATTCGCTTGCGGGTTCAACTTAATCGTTTCTGATTTCCTGTTTTCCGGAGGATTTAAGGCAACTAAATCCAACATTGCTGAATTTGGTGAAAATCGAATCATCATTTCAACAAAGATTTCTCTGGTCCAACAGGAATTCGCTAGTGGTTCATGTTCATTGTTTCTGATTTCCTGTTTTCCGGGGGATTCGAGGCAACAACTAAATCCAACATTGCTGAATTTGGTGAAAATCAATCAGCATTTCAACAAAGATTTCTCTGGTCCGACAGGAATTCGCTAGAGGTCATCTTCATTGTTTCTGATTTCTGGTTTCCCAGAGGGTTTCAAGACAAGTAAATCCAACATTGTTGATTTTCTATTGGGTTGACGATTACCCGGTAGAAATCAAATCAAATCAAATCAAATATTTCAACAAAAAATTCTCTGGTCTGCCTCCGTTTTCAAAGAACCCAGTTTGGAAACTACTGGTCTGCCATCTCCATACTCTTTCCACCGTCATTCCAGGTAAGTAATGTCAGCAATTATCATTTCTCTTTTCCTATCCTATAATCGTATCAAAATTCAACAAGAGTATGTAAATTCTCGTCCTTGTTTAGTAAATTGAATTACCTGCAACTCCCATGTTCAGATTTCTCGACTTCCAATCTAGGGGATGGAGCAATTCCGTCAGATTGGGGAGGTACTGGGAAGCTTGAAAACCCTAATGGTATTCCGGGATGATATTCAGATCAATCAGCGGCAATGCAGCCTTTTGCTTGACATGTTTAGTTCTGCTCACGAAACCATTGCGGAAGAGATAAGGCAGAATCTGAAATTCGAAGAGAAACAAACGAAATGGAAAGTTCTAGAACAGCCATTGAGAGAGCTCCATAGGGTTTTTAAAGAAGGCGAGCTATATATCCGGCAGAGCTTGGAAATCAAAGACTGGTGCACTAAAGCCATCATTCTCTATAAAGACACGGACTGCGTTGAATTTCACATCCACAACTTGCTCTGTTGCATTCCAATTGTCATCGAAGCAATTGAATCTGCCGGAGAAGTGTCCGGGTGGGACCAAGATGAGATACAAAAGAAAAAAATTATATACACAATGAAGTATCAGAGGGACTGCAGAGACCCAAAACTTTTCCAGTGGAAATTCGGGAAGCAATACCTGGTTTCTCAAGATTTTTGCAATCGGTTAGCCACTGTTTGGGAAGAAGATAGATGGTTTCTTCTCAACAAAATCCGGCAGAAGAGGAATTTGGGTTCGATGAAGCAAGAGAAACGACTCATGGATCTACTTTTCAAGAACTTAGATGAGTCTGAGCCAATGAATGGTCAACTCTTGCCGTGTTCGATCTTGGTGGGGTCGAAGGACTACCAGGTGAGGAGGCGGTTAGGGAGTGGAAGCCAATACAAGGAGATTCAATGGCTAGGCGAGAGCCTTGCTTTGAGACACTTCTTTGCGGATATTGAACAAATAATTCCTGAGATTTCCAAAGAACTCTCTCTCTCTCACCCAAATATAATGCACAGCCTTTGTGCGTTCACTGATGAGGAAAAGAGAGAATGTTTTCTTGTAATGGAACTCATGAGTCGAGATCTCAGAAGCTATATGAAGGAGAATTGTGGCCCGAGGAAGCGAATTCCATTTTCTCTTCTTGTTGCGGTTGATCTCATGCTTCAGATTGCAAGAGGAATGGAATATCTCCACTCTAAGCAAATCTATCACGGAGATTTAAAGCCTTCGAACATCCTCGTAAGACCAAGAAACATTTCCTCAGAAGGGTATTTGCACGCGAAAGTTTCTAGATTCGGCCTGTCATCCTCCATTAACGTCATGGAAAAGACATCTTCGAATCAGAATGGGACGCTCTCTTTCATATGGCACGCTCCAGAGATTTTAGCAGAGCAAGAACAGTCTGGAAGAATCGAAAACTCAAGATACACGGAAAAGTCTGATGTATACAGCTTTGGGATGATCTGCTTTGAGCTTTTGACTGGGAAAATCCCTTTCGAGGATGGTCATCTTCAAGGAGATAAAATGAGCCGAAACATTAGAATGGGAGAAAGGCCGCTATTTCCATTCCCTTCACCTAAATATATAACAAGCTTGACAAAAAAATGTTGGCATACAGACCCAAATCAACGACCCAGTTTCTCATCCATCTGTAGGATTCTCCGATACATCAAACGGTTCTTAGTGATGAACCCTGATCACAACCAACTGGATCCACCAATGCCGCTGGTAGATTACAGTGAAATCGAGGCAGGGATTTTGAAGAACTTTCCATTTTGGTGGAGTTCAGACCCATTACCCGTATCACAAGTCCCATTTCAGATGTTTGCTTATAGAGTCCTGGAGAAACAGAAAACAAACACGAGTAATAAAGATTACTATGAATCGGGGAGTGATGGAGCCTCGACTTGTGGGGATGAAAATGTGACTGCGGATGATCCATTCCCATTAGCAAGTGAAAAGAAGTATTCTGCCTCTCCTGAAACTACGATCAAGAAACTGCCATCATTGAAGAAATCTCCAGATGTGAAAGCCAACAAACAGCCAGGTAGTCTCGGGTTCTATTATTAAGTATGCCTTCTCTTTCTCTCCGAAAATTTTTAGAGACATATGTCAGCTAATTTTCTAAGGATCAATAAGGAAGCAAAACTTCACAGAACTAATGAGATGCTTAAAAAATTTCACCATGATTACAACAATTAAGCTCACAATTTGAATTCTTCATCTTCAGAATACAAAATTTTCCACAGAGTCCATAATTTCTCAATTCTTATATGAGAAAACTGGAGACTAGTAACAAAGGGAGCATGCATTCAAATATTCAGACCAAACATGCACTCATTAAGACAACAAATAAATATATAACATCATTATATATGAACTGTTCTTGAGCAGCTTATAGAAGAATAATTTCTAGTAGTTCCGTTCATGACTTGTGATTGCATATAAAATGTTTTTCAAAGAAAGAAAATGGGGGAAAGTCAAAATAGGTATGTATGTACTTCCCAAATATAATTATAGGAAGTGTTTCTTAACTATTATGCCACAGCAGGTCAAAAGTAATTATTAAGATCATTGCAACACCAATTCCTTGCATATCATACTGAATAAATATAAGTTCTGATTACCATGACTTCATAAGGTACAATATTAGTATAGTAATGGATACTAAATTCAAGCACAGTTCATATATATTCATTTTGTAAAACATAAAGAGACAAATAAAAGACAAATTCATGGTCAAATCTAAATTGTTGCATGTTTACATTTTTAAACTGACAAGTCAACATTCTTCCTATGTCAACATCTTTATTGTCCCTGTAAATTTTTAGAATGAGAAACTCTGCACTCAATGCCTAGGTAACTGAAAGTCAGTATAGTATCTTTTTCTATGGCCCTATTTAGAGCAGAACGGTAAGACATGATTCATGAAACTGACTCCGATATTTGGATAAGACTCGTTGTCAATAGAGTAGACTATAATAAGAAACTATGTTACATGAACTCTTCAAAATAAATGAAATACATATAACGTGGCACTCGGACAAGGGTGTGAGATGTGTCCGACACTTTCCATCAAACATTTCTTATATATTTGTTTTTAACACTATCATTATATATATATATTGTTGTATAATTGCTATTAAATGAGTAAAATACCTTTTTGACACTATAGGTTATATATGATAGCATTTTATCTCACATGACAAATTAAATATATAAAAAAATAACCCTTTTTGCTAAGTCTGCATACTCTTAAATTTGAGGTTTTATGAGTCCAAACTCTAGATATGCATCCATACCTGATATCTGTACCTAAGTCCATGTAATATCGCTAAAAAAAGATCTCTTAAAGATTTTAATTGTTTTTATCGTTAACATATACACCATTCAAATATCGAAGTAATAATGATAATCAAACCAAGAAAATCTGTTTTCCACTTTTTTTTTTGTCCCTTTTGACAACATCATCATACTAGGATCATAATGGCACTCTGAAACAAAGGGTGAAAAAGAATAAACCAAAAGGTTCACTTTTCTCATCCTCTATATATATTAACATTATCTTGTGGTTTTTTATTTTACAGGGACACCAAAAGGATGGTCATTAAGGCCTCCACAAATGTCTCCTCGTGGACGTGCTATAAGGATGAGTTCTGAAAGCCAGCTAATGGTCATGAGTCCAAAACCACGAAGAATATCTGGTCATGTGTCGGATTCTGAGCTTTCATAGGCCCTAATTATACTAGTCATTACCTCCACTAGATATGGATTACCAGATCATATTCACCTTCCCCGCACAGCCCAAACAGAACCTATTTGTGAGTTTCTGATTTAGAATAGGAGTTCATCAGCTTACTTTGACTGGCTATTTACCAGAATTGTAGCCAAGTTATTTGCGTTGAATTACTACAGTCTGTAAGATATGAACAAGTTTCACAATGTCTTTCTTTCTGCCAGTGTCTGTTTGATAACAGCAAGGGATGATATTCTACAAGTTTCTGGATCCACTAACCACTAGTCTCTAACAGTTTGCTACCTAACTAAGATGTATTGGAGCATCTTTCACAAAGTCTTTCTTTCTACCAGTGTCTCATTGATAACAGCAAGGGATGATATTCTACAAGTTTCTGGATCCACTAACCATTAGTCTCTAATTGGAGCATTCTATTTTAACACAAAAATCTATAAGTAATTCAATTTCCTACACAAGTTCATCTGTAAATTTAAATCTAATGTTTCTTCTTTAATTGAACATTTTTTTTTTGGTTTTCTAAAAAATAAATATGTAATTAAATACAAGCACAACCAAATTTATATGTCATATCCCTGTTGAGCACAAAACTAGAAGCACCCAGAAATCTTGATGGAAAACAATAAATTTTTCCAATCATTGTGAAGGTAACTAACAGCAGTTTGCAGAAACTCAAAAGTTGAAATTGAATAAGCTTTGATTGATTAAAGATTGTAGTACAATAAGTAAGTACTAAGTGAAAGAATTTCTAACTCACTTCGTCTGCAACTAACACCTGACTAGCTTGCAAAAATTTTATTCCACAGAAATGATATCGAATTGAGAAGCAAAAAGGAGGAGCTTAATTCATTTGACCAGATGCAAGAGACATCCTATATTTGACAATTGAGTGCTCAATTCTCACACTTAAAAATCATTTTGATACCCTGATATTGCAGCCAGACAACCAAATATATGCAAGGAATAAATTTCAGCAAAAGTTCCTATCTAAGTAAATAAAAGAATTAACACTAATGTAAATTCATTTTTCCATTATATTATTGATAGATAAAGTCATTCCAAAGTATTTTTGTCTGAACAATGCTACCAAACTATAGTTTAATGCTCGAATATTTTTTTTCGGGCACATGGGGGACAAAGCCCAAGCTAGACAGAAACCAATAAAATGCTTGTATTGATATAACCCACAAATTTGTAAGGGTAATATGAACAACCCACAAGATAAAAGGGGCATCTCCCTCAAAAAAATTGAAGTATGTGTACCTCAGCCACATAGATGTGTATTCAGAAGCAATCACACAACTAGCTGGTGCTTAAAATGTTGAGTTCCAAGGACATCCTTGCCTCTTCCAATATCAGCTCATTAGCAGGTTAGCTAGTTATCAGAACAATGCACTGCTGACAAATTTCTGGTCACAACGTCAGACAACCTTTGCAATCAACATTTTGAAAAAAGAACTGACCATGTCAGACAGAAATATTATGTGCAGAGTACCATGATTCTTGAAGAGGAAACCTCAAGTTCTTATAGGCAGGACAGCTCAAAGCCCAGGGCTTACTCCAGTCATATATGCATTTCTCTAGTTACGGGGTTGCACTCAATAGTTCATAAATGGTGCATTGCAGAGCATTCAGATGTATTTGCAGCTACAAATTACCAAGAAACCACATATTTCTGACTTGCAAGTATAGAAATTAGTTAGGTTCATCAATTTCTTTGCTTTTGCGGTTCTGGATAAGCACAAAAAGCAAAAGATCATATAAGTCAAGTGAGAGGGATCCATGATGGCTCAGTTGCACTCAAAGAAGCAAGCTGCAAAGAAACTTCTGGGGGGGACTGACTTTGATTCATATTCATACAATAAGATAGAACAAACTTCTTCTCACACCATCCGCAACAACTTCATACATCCACTCGAGTTGGCAGCAACAACCATGTTTGATTTTCCCCTCCAACAAACACTTGAAACAAACTGCCCACTATCATCACTGACCTCATGTCCAGACATGGGATCAACAGACCCAAATTTGTGTGAAGCAATAGGCATAGGCAGAGATCTATAATAAGTATAAACCTGAGAGAGGACAACTAAATGAAGTGAGAACTTAGAAAATCATCATAGTTCTAGAAAATAAACACAACAGCAATGTCATGATTTTCTATCAGAATTAAAGTTACATCGAGAAAAGGCAACCGTACCTCATTAGTTTCAGAACCACACGATATATATCCATCGAATACAGATAAACCCACGAAGTTCTAATAAAACATAAGACAAAAAATAAGGGCTACAGACAAGTCACCATATGGTCAAAAAGCTCCTAAGATATGGAATAGAAAATCCAACCTTCTCATTGGCATGACCACGAAAGGTTAAGGTGCAAGCACCTGAGGATGACCCTTCTGAGCTGGTTTTCTTGAGGTCCCAAAGCTTTAGGGTGTTATCTGTGGATGCAGAAACAAGTGTTTCTGAATCTAAAAATTTCACATAGCTAACAGCCTTACCATGGCCGGGTAATGTGCACCAAGGGATTCTAGTATGTCGAAGATCATAGCAGTAGGTCTTGTAATCAGCAGATCCAAAAGCCAACAGATGAGAGGAGTAACCAGAGAACTGAACACAGCAGACATTGGCAGGGTTCCAGATCGTGTTGACAGAAGTTTCCTGTACAAACAACCACCAGATTGTTTTTTTTCCACCCTTATAATAGAAAATGATCAAATTTTTATCTTAGAAACATACTGAGCTATAAGCAATAGGACAAGTTTAAAAGAAAGAAAGACAATGCGTCAGTCATGATCAGATGGGAAAACTTGATATGACTACGGTACATTGGTACCTATTCTCAGCAGTTCCTTGTCAGGACATACATAGTTATATATTTTTTAGCAAATTACTTCCGAGGGACTACGTGTAGGTCCTATTAGGTGGACTTATTGTTCAATAGATCCTGTGAAAATTAATGACATTTTTCATCAAATAATATTAAAAAACGTCACTAATTGTTAATTTTTAGCGACAGTTTGAAAATTGTCACAAAAAATGTAAATAATTATAAGTTTTAGCGACAGTTTAAAAAAATCGTCACAAAAAAAGTCACTAATTTTCAACTTTCAGCGACAGTTTGAAAATTTTGTCATAAAAACTGTCTTTAATTTTAGGGGTACTTACGTGTAGGTCCTAATAAGTGGATTTATTGTCTAATAGGTCCTATGAGAAAAATTTATCATAAAAAAAGTCATTAATTGTAAGTTTCAGCTATAATTTATAAAAATCATGACAAAAAAAGTCGCTAATTGTTAATTTTAGCGACATATATAAAAATTTGTCACATTATTTTTAGCGACAATTTTACTAAGATTTATTTTCAACAGGACTTGATGAGAATTAAATCTAACTATTAGGACCTATTGGTAGTTTACACTTAATTCTAATTGTAATTTTTAGCAATAATTTATAAAAACCATGACAAAAAAGTCACTAATTGTCAATTTTTAGCGACATGCAAAAAAGCATTACAAAAATTATTTTTAGCGACGATTTTATTAGGATTTATTTTCAATAGGACTTGGTGGGAATTGAAGTCCAACTATTATGACTTATTAATAGTTTACCCTTTATTTCCTGAATTTGCAATCCTTCAACTATTTAAAGAGTTATAAGAAAGATAATCTCATGATTATAGCCCAACATGACTATTTAAAGAGATGCAAAACGTATATCACAAAAACAATTGATTAATGACCAAGGAAATATTTCTTCAATTAGTTTATCAACATGTGATTACAAATAGAACCTTAAAATAGGAAAGCATATGAGTATGCTTTGTGTATGCGTATGCGCACGCAAGTGTGTGCATATATGTTATATGTATGCTTGTTATGTGTAAAATGTAAATGCAAACAAAAGGAAATACCATCTTATACTCTATTGGGCTTTTTATAAGCATTTCTCAATATAAAACCATGAGAAAGAGAAAAGAAGAATAAAGCTTCCACAGCTCTATCTCCAAAATGTGAAAGTACCAAATTCTTTGGATGTTAAAGCAGTAAATGAATTGTAGAAGAGAGAGCAAACCTCATTAATGCTCCACAGTTTCACAGAACAATCATCACTTCCACTGGCAAACTTCTTTGGATGCACTTGGGAAAAGTCGACAGACCAGGTCCTCTTTTGGTGTTCTTTGTACTGAGCAAATCCTTGACCAGTACTTGCATCCCACATCTGGAATCCACCATGTATCAGGGAAGGTTACAATTAGAAACAACAGTGACCATGATAACTAAATGGATAATGTGAAATAATAACAAAACTAAAGGTCCAAACAAAAGCAGTCTGAGGATTTAAATTCTCATAATGGACAGAAAACAGGAAGTTCATAAGCTTCACAACTATACCACAAGAAAACAATTAGTTCTCTAAATATCAGGACATTCAAGGAGACAAGGACACAGTAACAATTTTTGGAAAAGATTTATAATCTCAAGCTTTGACTACTAGAGTTGCAAGAACAAATTGAAATTGGTGATTACGAACTGACAGAAAGACTCCTATTTCCAGAAACACTCCTCAAAATGCCAGGATTACGCACCTGAACCACACCGTCATAGTCAGATGAAGCCAAATAGTTCCTGATGTAGTTGTTCCAGCAAACACAGCTGAGCTTGGATTTGTTTGTCATCTCAACAACAGGATAATGTATATCACCAGAGTCATTCAAAAGTGCACCAAACTCAAAAACTTTAATTTTCTTGGACACTCCAGCAGCAGCAATGTAATCCTCATCACGGTCAAAACTCAAAGAGCAAATCACATTTGCAGAGTTAAGAAGATCACCATTTCGTAATGTTCCACGCACCTCAAACTCACTATAGCGAGCAAATTTGCACAGACCTTCGTAAAAAGCTTCGAGATGACCAACAGGTTTTCCTTCCATGCTATTCGCCTCATTCTCAATCTGAAATCTGGACCACCTCTCTCGATTCCTTAGCAAATCCTTATCTAGGCGTTCAGTGGCAGCATTTTCTTTGGATTGGGTTTGGGATCTCACAGAGAAGTAAGCATCTTCTAGCTGACTAACATTTCTCATCAATTTTGCTTCAACCATATTTGACATGGAGAACGATCTAGGAAGAACATCTGAATGTGTATGATCTTCAAGTGGCCCCTGTTTTCTTGCATCAGGTAAGTCCTTGTCCATCAAATAGGACAATGTACTTGTTATGTGCCTTTTCTCAATCTCCTTTATGTCTGCTTCCAAGCACCCTATATCTTGTGCTAACTTGGAGGCATTCTTTTGCTTTTCTTCCTTCAATGAAAGTAGAAAATGGAAAAGTAGCTCTGATTCGCTATCATCATCATTGTAAAAACATGGTGACAAGTCACCTCTAGAATGCAATTCTTCAGACCCACATATTAATTCAGACTGCAGGATTTCCCTGTTATAAACAAATAGACATCTGAATATGTCACATTGAACTATAAAGTATAACAATGAAGTAATATAGATACAGAATCTTGCTTTGACTTCCCATCAATGAAATTGAAGATTTTGCTCAAGCAGCAGCAAAACAGAAGGCAAGTCAAGTAAGAACCAAGCAAGGAATCATTCTTTGATTAGAAAATTATCCATGCCAAAGATTAACCACCGACATGGTAACAATAGAGATAACTCGTAACTCTTAACTCATTTGTTTGTCTTCATTCTACAACTTTTGTTTGAGGGATCCTCACTTGTAAAATCTTTCACATGGGACCCCTCTCTCTCTCTCTCTCTCTCTCTCTCTAGCATATTTGTATGCCATTGTGTCCAGAAAAAAGGAATCTCATACTTCTGAATTTATAGAATATAAACTCACTATTACACAGGACCCATGAAGCACAGATACTTCTGCAACGAAGTTGTATCCATATCGTATCCACATCAAATACTCATGGATACATACCTGATCCTTTTTAAACATAATTGATACTTGAAATTAATTTTCTTTAATTTTGAGAAATATTGGATAGTTTTTGGATACTTTTTGTAATAATTTTTGCATTATTGCATATCACTAGAGTATAATTGCTACAATAAATACAATATTAGTTTTTTAATACTTTGCTTGCTTCTTAAAAAATAAGAAAATAGTGAGATTGTAGTATCCTATTTTCAAAATTCATCAAATTGAAGTATCCATGTGTCATACACATGTCCCATACCCATACTACTTAGAAATTGAGGACAAATGTATAATGAAACTAAAATCGGATTTCAACAATGAAACAAGAAAATAAAAACAAACAGGGCAATGACCATTTCCAAACAAACATGATTTTCCACCTCACTGCTAATCCAATCCCATCCTCTATCACTTAAAACAAATAGGGCCGTGTATAATACTATTACATGTAACATTTATGTGTGAAAAGAGTAAAGCTCAAGGACAATATATAAAGTTCAGACATATTATTAATAAGAAATTTTATAGGACCTATTGAAGGAAACGTAAAGAGAATGTTACTAGCTCTTAAACTAATACCTAGTTTCTAAAGAATGACTACTCACCATTATTTGATCTTATGTATAATGCAATGTAAAAAATTATTATCTATAATTATATAGGGAAATTTGACTATAAACCCCTCTTACCTTCCTTTTATTGTTAAAAGGACTAAGAAAAAAAATTATACTTTCAAAACCCCTTCATAATTATAAAGTCTTGTATAAAGGGCAAAATTTAGTATTTAAATATTTTATCAGACTATTATACCCTCAACTAAATCTTTCCACCATCTCCTTCGACATTACTTTCTCTCTCTTCCTTCACCTCCACCTCTCTCTTCTCATCCGCCGCAGCCACCGCCCCTTCCCCCTCGGCCCTCCACAACCTCTCCATGTCCCTCATCTCTCTCACCATCTTCACCGAAATTCTCCTCTGCCGTCGCTGAGATCCATGATCTCCTCCTTCGCCATAGCCGAAGCCAAATCCTGCATCACGCCTCCTCCTCCTCTTCCATTTCTGACGACTAATCGGAGGATTTTGATCGGATCACGAAGCGCACAACAGAAATTTGGATCTATAGATACATATGTGTGTATGTATGTGTGTTAGCGATCTCAGTTCGCAGATCTTGCCATCGCCGATCTCTCTCTTCTGATGAGAAAATCCGGAAGACGTATTTTATCAAGGTCTTCTATTTTTCTGATTGTTGAAATTCCAATCTTAAATCTTATTTCATTGATGTTTATAAGGTTTTGAGAAGGAGATTTGGAGATCTGATTCTATACTACATATATACGTGTGTATATATATTCCTCTATCTACATGTGTATCGGTTGCATGTGAATATATATATACATGTTTCAAAGTGTTGTCTGTATTTGTTGATTGTTGATTTTGATGTTATTTTCTGTTTGGTTCCCAAGAGAATGAGGGAAAAGCTGAGAAATTGATCATTTAAACATCAAAGCAACAGTGAGGATAAGACTATATTTGGTTTCCTTGTTATGTTTCTGTGTTTTTCTCAACAACCAAACACGCAAGGTTATTAATACATGACACTTAGTGTGATTCAAAGTGGATACTCTCCTTAGATCATAGTAAAATTGTACTTTCAGAGTAAAAGTTTACTCTGAATCAAAGTAAAATTTACTATGATTAAAAGTAAAATTTTACTCTGAAATTTTACTTTGGTTAAAAACATGTTGATTTGCTTAACGATATAAATTTTACTTTGAATCATAGTAAATTTTACTCTAAAATTTTACTTTGGTTAAAAACATGTTGATTTGCTTAACGATATAAAATTTTACTTTAAACTTTACTCTGATTCAGAATAAAATTTTATTCTAAATTAGAGTAAAGTTTACTATGATTCCAAATAAAATTTTACTCTGAAATACACTGTAAGGATGACTTAATAGGAGAACTGATAGATATGAGGGTAATATAGTAAAATAAACAAATTTTAAAATATTAGGAGGTTTTGAAAGTACCTATATAATTCTTGTCCTTTTGAAAAACAAAGTAGACAGTGAGGGGTCTATCACCAAATCCCCCTAATTATATATATATATATATTGATAAATAATGAGTTTTATTGAAAAAGCATCAAGATGATGCAACTAATAAGGTCGAGCATCAGGTTGATTTGAATGGGATGGAGGCTCCTTCGGAAGACACTGTTTTAGAGTGGGTGCTCAGTAGGATCAGCAAGGTAAGTCGTTTGTTCAGTGTATCTTTTGAAGGCCATGAGACTGAGGCTATGCGTTTATTCACAGCAGTGGAAACCTCAAGGAGGCAAGGGGCTCCATCAGAGGAGGGTGGTTCTTCAGGAGTAGTGGTACGTAACGAATGTATCTTGACCGTACCCTTAAAAATTATAGGCTGTTACCAAAAAAATTATGAAAACCATAAATATTCACAAGTTCACTTCTTTAATATTAAGGGTAACTACCAATAAGTTCTAATAGTTAATTCCCATTAAGTCCTATTGAAAGTTAGTCCTAATAAAATCGTCGCTAAATTTTTTTTTTGTGATGATTTTTTTACATACGTCACTAAAAATTGACAATTAGAATAGTACTAGTGCCTTGGCATTTCACTCGTTCAAGGTGCACATTCTTAGATTTACAAAAAATTTATGATTTTAAAAGTGATTATATAACAGTAGATGGTAAATTGCCGTCAAAGAAGTACCTTGTTGTTGGACGAGATGAAGGGTCAGGATGAAGAAACAAAAGACAAAACGCAGTTTCCTTGGGATTTTCTGAAAGAAAACGAGGAGGAAGAATCCGATGACGCAAATCCAACATTGCTGCAAAATGCACCTCCGATGATTCAAAGCAGCAGAGCAACTGATAGAAACAACTTGCATTAGTGGATAAGTACAAACTTATTAAATTGCTCCCACTGTGAAATATAAGATTATTACGGAAATGAATAATAAGATTACATAAAATAAATAAATTTACAAAACTAATCCACATTAATAAGAAGCAACATAATTCAAAAGTTGAGGCCCATCCATATATGGTGGCAAATCCTTCAGATACACTTTCCTTTCTCTATTCCAAGTAAATACTTAAGTTGAAGTAATTAGGCAAAATAAGTTGGAGGAGATGCAAATCTGTAAGGGCGAATATATCTCAAGTAGCAATTGCATATGTGGCCAAATCTACTTCGCGGGCTCAGGTAGCTAGCCAACCAAAGGAAGCTGCCTCAAGGAGATTGATATAATCAATCAATCAAACCATCAAATTTTGACTCAAGTTTCAAAATAGACACCACCAGGTTACTTCTCAAGAAACATCTAGCATTTTCTTGTTCAATGAATATCAATGCCACAACAACTACAAGGGAAATGGCATGGGTTTAATCCTATGTTACCTGGAACGTGGATTGTTCCGAGGAACAGGAATGGGAACAAAAACCGGAATGGGAATGGAAACATGATACGCCACATCCTTTAAAATGCGGTACGAACGAACCTATAGCAATGCCGCTCTCCTTGCCAGCCCCATAGGGGTAGGGTTGTATAGATTACACACTAAAATTTAGGAGACCATTAAATATGATAGTAATTATATTTTAACAGTTTAGACATCCACTAAAATATAGTCATCTATTAATCAAGTAAAAACACAATTTTAGAAGCATCATGGCCCATTTGTTATACATTTGGTCATGCAAAAACTCCATTCTTTCTAGATTTTAGTTTATTATATTTGAATTTTTTTTCCTCCTATAGGAAATAGGAAACTTCTAAAAAAACAAAGGAAATTTTTTGGGATCGCTTTGGATTGCTAAATTCTCTGTTTAGGAACTAAAGTATACAGTGTTTCGGAATGTGCGTTCCAAAATGTAAATCACTACTAGGATATTAGCGTTTTCAGGTAACATCAGTTTAATCATTAATGTCTCAAACTCTGCCACTTACTCTACCCATTTTTCCAAGCACCTAAAGGAGGATTTCTTACCACTGTAGCAAGATGTGAAAACCTATGTCCTCTCAAATCTCAAGTTAGATAAGCTCCAAGAAATTCTGTAAATCACAAACTCCTTTACATGCCATGGAGCACCTGAATTTGTTAAAGCTTAAAAGATGAGGATCTCAAATTTATATTGATTCATTCAGTTGTACCTAGAAATATAGTCACCCAAAATAGTTGCAAATGACAAAGATTCCTAACCTCCTATCATTTAATTCTTCATTAATACAAATCCAAGAATTCTAATTCTACAATATTATGCAATCGTACAGACATGTCACATGTTCTACCATTAAATTCTTTAGTAATACGAATCAAAAAATTCTAATTCTACAATATCACTTAATTGTACAAATGTCACATGTTATAGCATCCAGTATTACATCATGTCTGAAATTTCATTTGTTTTAATAAATGACATTTCATATACGATGTAAAACACATCCAAAAAGAAGCTGCATGAATTAAGATCATATTGGATAATTGTTGAACAATTAAGCATACAAAAGATTTTCAATGCCAAATAACCACTTAGCAGTTCACATTCTCCCCACCTCAAATAGAAAAACCCCAAGACTGTAGACATTTGATGCCAACATGCCTCTCCCTTCAAGCTCCTCTGGACTAGCATACCACTTCTCTTCCACTTGAACATATGTAAAATTTGATAATTTTTGTGATGGAGCACATGTACTCTGGTAGCTAGAAATGTTTTGAGACCCATGGTCAGTATACCCCAAATCTTGTTGATCACTAGCATTAGTATCAATGTTATTCACAGCTTCACGGATAATGCCACGTCTAGAGGTGAACTCAGTTTGATGTCCCAGAGGTCTCATGTGCATGCCAAGCTTTTGCAGCTTCACACCTAAATTACTGTAAGTATGCAATTCTTGCTCTAATGGCCTTTTTCTATTGATATTCTGATACATATCGCTGCATTCTCTTTGATGAACCAGTCTTGATGAACCAACGTAGTTAACCCTTGATGATGGCAACAGAATAAAATAGGAAGGACGTAGGTCTAGCAAGACAATTCCTTGAGAGTGTGCGGAATCCACTAATTGCACAATCTTCCTAAATAAAAGCAACCTTTCAACTTTGTTAATCTCATGGCACCCAAGCTTTAGCCACTCTCTCAAGCTGATCCCATCAATATTGTGCTGAGAGGAATTGTCATTTTTGGCACTTGAATTCAAGATTGCATTAGAAGCTATGGTGGTTACAGAAACCTGTTTTTCATTATTTTGGCCCCCAGCTGCAATATTAGATTCAGTAGGATCCTCAATCCTTCTGGATATAACCCCCTTACCCTTCAAAGCTTTCTTAATAAAAAGCTGAGAAAAGCTAGACGTAGACAAAATCTTTGATCGGTTACCCCCAAGAGGTATCATATTGCTTGGAATGATCTTTCCATAATCATCTGTTAAATGTACAGATATTTCCCTTGGAAATAAATTCTTTTGCTTACTTGACGATTTTAGATCCTTAATGGCAAAATGCATTCTCCGCAGATCTTCCCTGGCACTCAACAACATCGTATCTTTTTCATTGGACCCAAACTTATCATATGCGTTTCTATTGCTATGCCCGCCTGTCAACTGAAACAAGTGTTGCCATTGGCTCTGTGTAGAACGTATCCCTTCCCTAATGTTTAAGTGGCTGGTTGAAGCTAAATTTGGGTTTTGATAATTGCTCAAAGTTAATTCTTCAACCACAAGCCCTGCATCATTCATAGAATAAGGGTTTGTAGATGGAGATTCAGTCTCAACCGAAGAAGTTACACATCTGTTTGAACTATAGCCCCCTAGTAGATCGGTACATGGATGGGGTGATCTATCAGGCCAGTTGCTGCCCGCAGATACATACAATGCAGATGATCCTAACATATTGCGGCTTTCAGGTTTCATGGGAAGGTCACGAACACAATCTTTTTTCTTGAGTTCTGCATTTGCCGGTACCTCATTTGTAGCCATTTTCTCCTCAGCACGTTCCACAGCATCCATGCTAACTCATTTAATCAAATTTATACCGTATTCCACAGCATCCATACCATCAATAGTGCAAGCATTAGTTGTGGTGAAGATCTAGAAGAAAATATATAGAAAGAATGAGCCACAAAGAAAGAGAGATGCTAGAAGTTCACAAAAATAATAATATGCTGATTTCAGAAAACCAAATGAATATTGACACACATGATAGTGATAAATCCGAGTTTTAAAATCTTTCCTGCCCAGAAGTGAGTGAGTGAGATTGTGTGTGTGTGTGTGTGTGTGAGAGAGAGAGAGAGAGAGAGAGAGAGGTACCAAAAGTATACACACATGTTAAATAATTTTCAATTAGAACTAGAAATCTACAAAGCATAGTTGAGCATGCACCCCCATCAGAGAAAGAGATGGAGGTATAATTTGTGATTACAACACAAATATCAATGTCCCATGTTACAGGTGCTAGTTGTGATTATGTATGTAATTGTCAAAATTATCTAATTCCCATGCCTAATGAGAATAGCACATGGCTAAGTTTCATAGTTCTTGAATACATCTTTCATTTATTTAGGGTAAAATAGGGTTGTAAATGAGCCAAGCCAAGTCAGATTATGGGTTATAAATATTGGCGAGATTAAGAAATGTGCTCAAGCTTGATTTATTTATCTTTTGAATCAATCTCAAACAAAATTTAATCAAGCCAAACACAAGTTGAGCTCCATTAGCTAGGTTTGTTTTATGTAATCTGAAAGTGTTGATTAGCATATTGAGTAAAGCTCAAAAAATTAACAAACTTCAAAATGTGCTCAAACTTGACTTGCTGATGTTTCAAACCGATCTCAAACAAGTTTTTAACAACCCAAACATGAGCAGTTTGGGTTTGTTTTACAACCCCAGTTAAGTGTTGTTTACAAACTGACATAGTTTTTTATGCATAAAATGAGAGTCTTATACATAGTTTTGGTGAACGCCCAACTAGACATATCGGACACGTACCTATGCCATAACCATAACCATAACCATAACCATAACCATAACCATAACCAAGTATCAAGTGTCGGACCATGTCAAAAGTATTAATTTACATGGAAAATGTTATAAATGCCCACTCTCTAGACCGAGGTTTTAAAAAGCGGCCGCAACTGTTACGTAATGCCATTACGTAACGGTTGTGGTGGTTACCGCCACCCGTTACGGCCGCTTTTGCAATGTGATTGAGATTCACAGGTGTGTTGGCCGTAGCGGCTGCCGTAACGGTGCCGTAAGAGCCTGTTACGCACTATTACGTAACGGTTCTGAAATGTTTCTTTCAAAAAAACACAAAAAAAAAAAAGCTGAAAATAGGGGAAGAGAGATAGAAAGAAGAGGGAAGATAAAAAATATGTTATTGATTTGTTGAAGCTGTAAGACCTATGCTATTCTATTCAGCTGCTACTACTCAACCATTTTATTTGTGTATTTATCTATATATTATTTGAAAATAATAATAATAAGTGTGGTCATTGTTTATTTGGCTTGGTTAAAAAATATATATATATATATATTTAAGCTCTTATTTATTCTCTTACTTTTGTCATTATTTATCTTATATATAATAGTTAGTGATTGATTTTTTGCATAATATAAAGTCATTAATTATTAAAATAAAATGTAAAAAACTCGGTTTATAGCGATTTAAAAATATGAAATATATTGAATCGTACTTAAAAATTTACAAAAATTGATCAATATTTATTTTAAACCCAATAAATATGATCATGAAAAAAAAATATGCGTATCAATATGTTTTTTTCAAATTGTGCAAAAAATAAAAAAATTCACAATTTCGGTTACCGCAACCGTTACGCTACAGCCTTTACACCCCGCAACTGCAACCGCGCCACCGCCATCGTCATGACGACCGCAACCACGTTTTAGAACCTTGCTCTAGACCAACTGCTAAGACACATGCATAAAAATGAACCTTTACAAAAGCCGGCAGGTAAACCAGCTTTGGATGTCTGACATGGGCTGCCATGTCACTCAGTTTGAAGTATTCTGCCTAATCGGGCCAAAAAGCACTACTCTATTTACATAATTAAATAATTAAACAATTAAACAAAATTTATTTATATCTTTGTTAGATACTTTCCATGTAAATCAAACTAAACCTTTGCGTCCCAATCAACTAAGATTAGCTGTATAAAAACTTTTTTGTCATTACTTTCAACTAAGAGGTTAGGGGATCAATCCTTGCCATAGACAAAGATTGATTATTTAGGATAAACTACCAATAGGTTCTAATAGTTTGACTTAATTCCTATCAAGTCCTATTGAAAATAAGTCTTGGTAAAATTGTCTCTAAAAGTAATTTTTTTGTGATAATTTTTTATATATATCGCTAAAAATTGATAATTGGTGACTTTTTTTTGTCATGATTTTTATAAATTGTCGCTAAAACTTACAAATAGTGACTTTTTTTATGACAAATGTTTCCTATAGGACCTATTAAACAATAAATCCACTTATTAAGACCTACACGTAAGTACCTCGATTATTTACTCCCTATTAAAGGGTTTTTATTTAGTTGTTTATTTCTTCTATATTATGGTCTAGTTCTTAAGTCTAATATAATTATCTTGATACTAGCATAATACCTATGCTATGCATGGTTTTACATGATAAACTACAAATTTATTTTAGAAATAAAAGATATATTTATAGTTATGATAAAATTGTTTACAATCAAATAAACTTAGCTATTGTTGTGACAACTACACTTAAATTTTTATTTATTTATTATTTTTTTGGCAGTCTTATTATTAATGGTGCACCCTAAATATTAAGGCCAAGTTTGGCAAGTCCAGAATAAGCCAAAAAGTCAAAAAGTTACTCAAAAAGTTAAAAAGTTAAAACTATTCACCAAAAGTCAACAATTACAACCTATGAAGCACGGACACAGACACGGATACGGATACGGACACGGACACGGACACGGACACGGTACACGGCAATTTTCAAAAAATGGGGACAGTCAAAAAATTAATCCAAACATCTATATTTTCTTCCTCAATTTTTTAGTTCAAAAAGACAAAAAGTACACTTATTTAGGATATCCCAAACAACCCCTAAATAACAAAAACATGTGTTATAACATAATTGATAAATATAAAAATCAAAATATAAGTAAACACAAAAATTACCATACGATAAAATATAAATAATTTCGTTCTTAAGATTTCGTAATGATAGCCTGTCTTATGTCAATTCACCCAATCTATAACAAATCATCAATTCTTTTTGAGCACAAAAAAGTCATAATAAACGATAACAAGAACTAAGACGAGAAGGGGAAAACATTCAACATCCAACAATATTTTTCACAAAAGTACTAAATAAGAGAGGCAAAAGATTAAAAAAATAAAAAAAAAATTAAATTAATAAAAATAAAAATAAAAATAGCCCTGCCGTGTCCCCGCTGTGTCCCATGCCGTGTCCCCATATGGACACGCGTGTCCCTGCCGTGTCCCCTGCAAAAAAATCATTAAATTAAAGGGACACGCCATCTGGCGTGTCCCATACGTGTCCCCGGCGTGTCCCGTTTGGCAAGTCCAGAATAAGCCAAAAAGTCAAAAAGTTACTCAAAAAGTTAAAAAGTTAAAACTATTCACCAAAAGTCAACAATTACAACTGCACAACTCCCAATTCTAATTTTCTCTTACAAACCAATTTTTACAATTTTTTATTACACATTTTTCCATAAAAAGTCAAAAAATTAATCCAAACATCTATATTTTCTTCCTCAATTTTTTAGTTCAAAAAGACAAAAAGTACACTTATTTAGGATATCCCAAACAACCCCTAAATAACAAAAACATGTGTTATAACATAATTGATAAATATAAAAATCAAAATATAAGGTAAACACAAAAATTACCATACAATAAAATATAAATAATTTCGTTCTTAAGATTTCGTAATGATAGCCTGTCTTCTGTCAATTCACCCAATCTATAACAAATCATCAATTCTTTTTGAGAAAAGCTATGGACCCATATTAATCCATCCAGAAAATTCTGGGTGGATGACTGCGTGGTGGAGATTAATTCGTATAGTATAAAGTCCATGTGTAGAATAAATTTGAACTACAAGATAAAAATTCTGAATAATTTTTGGATTGATAAGGGTGGTACGTAGTATTACTCATTATTTTTTATCCTTTGACAATTTTGTGAGTGACAATAAAATTTTTGATTTTTCAAAATTTCAAATTTGATAACTAAAATTTTATTTTGAACTTTGTATTTAAAGATTTTAAAATTTCAAATGAGATGTAACTTAAATAAAAATAAAATTCTATTTTGGACTTTCTATTTAAAAGTTTTCAAAATTTCAAATGAGGTATGGGTCAGATGAGCCAATAATTATGTCACATATAACATATATGTTATTTTTAATTATATAATTTTAAGAATTTTTTTTAAAAGATTTAGATTAATACTTTAAAGCACTTTCTTAGATAAAATATTATTTTGCATTAATCCATTCACTTGCAACTACGTAGAGAAATACAATAGCATTAAAAAATCAAAAAATAAAATATAATTGTATTAAAATATGTTCTTTTGTAAAACCTCTTTTTGAGGTTCTATATTTATGGTGGCTGTATATTTATTTTCGAATTTTGGGTAAGAGAGAGAATGGGTGGGACAGAGAATAAGAAGAAAAATTATTTTTTTCTATTATGGGATAATTATTATTTGCAAAGATGGTATAATTATGGCAACATTTTTGTTTTGGGAAAGGGTAGTAGAAAATAATCACTATTTTTTAATAATTATAATTAATATGCTAAGTTAGCAAATATTATTTTATTATAAATATTTTAAGAAAAAATGTTATTTTTGAATGGACAAAAGAAGATGTTGCTTTAATTAAACAAATCAAAGAAAATGTTAAAACGTTACCAGATGTTTATCTTCCCAAAATAGGTGATAAATTAATTTTAGAAACATATGCCTCAGAAGCATGCTGGGGATGTGTTCTTAATGCAATACCAAGTAATTTATGAAAATAACAAAAATTAAAAATTTAAGGATGAAACCTTGAAAATTCTAAAACTTTCATCATTAAAATGTCAATTTAGCACCAAAGTTATGCACGGGAACTAAAAAGTTCAAAAAAAAATGCTTAATAATGTAATATTGACATTTGTCATTCTGTATATAATCTATGATTGATTTAATAATATCGTTTGTATTTAAAAATTATTAGTTGTCTAAAAGACAACTAAATAAAAACTACCCACAAAAATTATAAAACACATTAATCCCTACCAATTAAGTTTGAAACTTCTTGGATGTAAGAATATGAAAAACAATAAAATACAAAAAATGGTTGGAAGTCAAAAATAAAATAAAGAAAGGTAAGACAGAATAAAGAGAGAAATGATGTAAGATACTGTCTAAAGAATGCACACATAAACTAACCTTTAATAGTCTTCAAAGAAGAGATTAAAAATAATGAGTTGCATGAACTTGACCTTAATAGGGTGAGGAGGTTGGGAATAGCGTGGAAAAAGATGTATGGCGGCTAGGGTTTTCGTGTGAAGAAGATAATAGGTTGGAGAGAGAGAAATGAGGAGAAAATTAAAAAATTTCCTATTATTAAATAATTATTATTTGCAAGAAATATGGCATAATCATAACAATATTTTTGTTTTAGGAAAGAATGGTAAAGGTACAACACCAAAATAATTAATTTTATGTAATTAATACCATAATTATTGACTCTATTATTGGAGATAAGCGATTGTAATTCCATAACTATTGTTATATTAATGAAATTCATTTGGAGAATTTAAATATTATTTTAATTTAATTAAATTAGATTTTAGGCTAATTGTAAGGTGCTAAGTATACTTTAGAAATTATAAAATTTAGAAAAAATCAGAAAATTAGTGTGAGACTTTCAACCTCAAAGAGGCCACAACGGTTTTACTTATATAATTTGTAAGTATTC